TTAATCAGTGTGCCAGGTGACAGGTCTCCCAGAGGCCCCAAAATCTCCCCTATAAAACTTTTCCATGTACGTACTGGCTTGTAAATGAGTGTTCACATATGTCACTTAAGTTCATTTGATTACCGCTACTAAATAAATACTCATAGAATGGGGGAGTGGTGGTGCAGTCAGGTAATTAAAATGAGTTTTGACTGTGAGCTCTGCTCAGAAGAATCTGCAACATGAGTCCTTTCAGGACTTTTCCCTTCCCCTTGACTGTCTCTATGGCTGCCCTTCGTTTGCTGCCTGGCAGTCAGTCTGTAGCTTCTTCCATCTACGTGGTTGCTTGTGTTCTTGGCCTAGGATAGCCTTGACCTTTGAGCAACCAAACTTGGCTGCTTCTCCCAGCATCTAATGGGTGACTTGATTGCTTTCATAGCACTTCAGATTGTCTCTGCTCTTTCCAGCGTGCTAAAATGTCTTCTTTACTATTTTTTTTTTTTTGTGAGGGTCTCACTGTGTAGCTCAGGCTGGCCTTGAATTACAATCCTCCTGCCTTAGACTTCTGACTGCTATGATTACAGGTGTGTACCACCACACCTGGCTAAAACTTACTATCCTTCTAAAAGGAGAAAAAAAGCATTCGTGATCAGTTTTCTCTATTTAGGGAATTTGGAAAGAACTTTCCAGGATCAGGTCTGATTGCCTTTGAGTGCATTGCACAGTGTCCTACTGAGAAGTGTTGCTTTATGCATTACCATGGAGCCACACTGAAGTTTAGAGCCATTGACTTTCTCCAGCCTGAGGATTGGTTCCCTGGATATTCATGAAGGAGTTGGAGGTACTTGCCTTTTTCTTGTACTTAAACATATTTTTTGCATAAGAGAGCAGCATCCAAACTTTGTACTTGGAAAGCAGTTTTCTCATTTGTAAAGTACAAGTAAAAACTATCCATCTCTTAATGTTGCCTTGAGTTTTAGTATAAACATGATGTGCTCAGCATAGTGCTGGTATATAATGAAGTGTTCAGTTATTGTCAGTGTATGTGTGTGTGTGTCTGTCTGTCTGTCCATCCTATCTTTTGGTCATTACTTTCCTTGCTTTATCATCTGCACCAAACTTCTCCAGTGCTGTGTGCAGAGGTGTGGCACAGGAATGCTTTCTTCTCTGAGATTCATTCTGAGGATTGTAACATCTGTGTGATTCTGCTTCCTCCGACTCTCCAGTGCTGGCACTGACTTATTCCTAATAGAAAAAAATCACAATGGAAATACAGTAAGCAAATGAATATATGTGTCACATCCTCTTTACATTTTTAATTCAGGTTAGTATCTGAGATCAGACAATTTATTGTGTGGTGAAAGTTTAACTTTCAAATTGATGAAAAATGGCCTTAGAAGAATATTGGAGAAAGATTAATTCTATAATTCCTTGATGGATCTCAAGAACACTATGGATTGAAAACTGGAAAAACGAGGCAAATGCAAACAAGAAAGTGTTGTTTATGGTACCAAAACACCAAGTGTGGGTGTTAAGTTAAATGAAAGCAGAGATTTTTCTAGATTGGAATTATTTCAAAGCAGGTGGGATTTGAGCTCAGCCCTTCAAGGATGTGTTGGTTGAAGCCCTCAGGAAGGGCTTTCTGTAAAAATGGGGGAGAATTTTGATGCTACAGAATGAAGTGGCATGGAGCCTCTAGCTGGTCAGTCTCTGCACTTCTGCCCCATCCCAGACACTAGTGAACAGCCAACTCTACTTGCATTTGTGTATCTCTGTTTTCCCCTCTGAAAGTCTCCAGGGGCTTTGAGGGGCCTGTTGCGGTTTTCTGGCAACACTGTGCTCTTCTTTCCCCATCTTACCCTTCCTAGCTTCTTATTTCTGAAACACACACAAAAGCAGCTTTGTTATTACAAAAAAAGAAAATACAGGTTAACGAGAAGAAAAAAGAATTATAAAAATAGTAGTAAGTGGGAACTTGGTTTGGATATCCTCATGAGCTGTTGGTGAGACACAACTGTGGAAGTTTCTCCTCATTCTGATCTCTGGCTTCTCTAGCCTCTTTTTTGCAGCTGACCCAGAGACCAGAGTTACGTGGTTGGGCATTATTCCCAGCTGTGGCAGGCAGGATGCTCAGTTCTTTTTAGGACTGGGCCCTTCTGGTGTTTCCCCTTCCCTTTGTTTCACAAGCTGTATGATTCTGGAGCCTTTGCTGAGGCTGCCTAGAAGCCACTGTTGTACTTCAAAGATGCTTCCCTTAGGCTTCATGACATCAAATGTGACCCAGCCTCCCTCCCCCTCCTTTCTCTCTTGCAGGAAGGTCTCTTTGGCTTGGTATTTCAGATTTCTATCTGATTCAGTTCTTACTAGCATCTATGAGACCTTGGTAATGAGAACAATTGTCCTGTATGTTTTATTTTGTAAACTCTCAGGCATATTCTGAGTGCTTTCAAAGATGAACTCTTTGGATTCCAGAGGAAGATTACCAACAGTGTATCAGTTGACTTAAGCCCTAACAAATGTTATTTCTTATGATTCAAAGACTTCTGCTCCCAGTACATCCTTTAGTTGATCTCTGTTTAGTTCAGATGCGCCTTTAATATTAGATATTTGAAAACACAGTGACTTTCTTTAAAGTAGATCAGACTTCTGTGAACCCAGGGCACTGTTTCTTTTTTATTATTTTAAATGGAAAAAGTAAGCTAAATTATAGGTCAACCAAAAGCCCATAATCTGAAACATAAAATGCTGTAAATACCTGTGAGTTATAACTCACATTCTGAGGCCCTGGGTTCAATCCCCAACACTGCAATGTAGATATATATTTATTTCTATATATATTTCTGTATATATATATGTATATATATGTGTGTATGTGTATATGTATGTATACATACATATACTCATAAATATATACATATATACACATAAACATAACAGGTCATTATATAGGGTCATAAGTGGTTTAAAATTTTCTTCCTGATCATCAGTTAGTATGATTTTTAACAAACAGTTTCTACATTGTAACAATGTAGTTATGCTGATATTAGCAATATCCAATATCTCAGTAGCATGTTTCCTTTGTTGACACCTGGACATTTTCCAACCATTGACCCACTGACTCTGGTGGTCTAAGGAAATGTGACTTGAGACTCTCCTCATGCCCCATTATATTAAAAATGTATTTAATTTGACAATTGCAAATACAGATTTTTCTTATCAGCCATTCCCCTTAGGAAAAGCTTACATTGAGGTACATGTACATGTCTGCCTGTTAAAAGCTAAGAAGGATTCTGCTGGCAGTATGTCAATCCAGGAGACATTGCCTAGACAATACTTAAAATTGACTGTTGTCAAATTAAAGCATAATTTAAAAACTAAATGTACATGGATTTTTTTTTTTATTCCATGACTGTGGGATGATCTGTGATACTATTCTTTAGACCAGACAAGAAGTAATGGTAAATTATTTGAATTCTTTGACTATGTGCATTCGTGAGTATGATTTAAGTAAGTCAACTTTATTTTCATTTCATTCATTCTTTTTAAGGTTAAAGTTACAATCCAATGTGTTCTTACTCTTCTCTGTTCCCGTCTCTTCTTTTGGTAGTACTGGGGTTTGAACTCAGGGCCTTGCCCCTGTTAGGCAGGGCTCTACTACTTGGTTTTACTTATTTTTCAGATAGGGCATCATGCTTTTTACCTAGTCTGGCCTTGGACCCTGATCCTCCTACCTATACCTCCCATGTAATTGGAACTACAGGTGTGTGCCACCATGCCCAGCTTTTTCTTTGAGGTAATCGCTAACTTTTTTACCCCCAGACTAGTATTAAATTGCAATCCTCCTATCTCCACCTCTAAAGTAACTGGGGTTACAGGTGTGAATCACCACATCCAGTCTGATGTTCTCTATCTTTTCCTGATATGTTAAGTTATATATTTAGGGCTTAGAAAAAAACAGTTTAAAAGCACTTTTAAGAACATTACTTTGCTTTTCTAATCTCTCATCACCTTTTGTAAACTGTTCTTTGAGGATATTCTAAATTTTTTTAAACACTGTCAGCATAGTTGTTTCTTACTGTGACTGATGGATTATTGCAATAACAAACATTTGTGGAACTTTTTGTATTGATTCTTACTTTTGGGGTGGTGTTGCATTATTGGGGTTTGAACTCAGGGCTTCACACTTGTGAAGTAGATGCTGTACCACTTGATTCATGCCATCTGCCAGATACCTATGGATGCCACCAGTCAGACCAAGAGTAAAGCTTCAGGTCCCTGGACCACTCAGGTCAGGGAAACCCAGGCTACAAATCTAGAAGGGCTGACTTGTGGCCAGTTTTTTAGAAACAGGATGTTTTGTGTTGTTCTGCTATGTCTCTTTCTCCCTTCTCTTCCTTAAGCACCAAGACAGAGGTCCTTGTAGTTCTGAGGAGCAGGGCAGGATTACTCCTGGCTCATATTTATACCTCTGAGTGGGGTTCCTAGTTTATGGCGAGTGCACATTCAACTTTGGTGTTCTGTTGCCCCACTTCTCTCTTTCAGTTTTTCCTAGATTTTTTTCCCTGAGTGTTTCTTACTATCTTGTGACTCTTGCTTTTAAGGAAATTTATCTTTTTTTCTTCTTCTTCCTGTTATATCTGATATTTATTTGATCTTGAACAGTCCTGTGAGGTTCGTGTGGCAGATGTATATTGGACTGACCCAAAGGATGAGGGAACTGAGCTGAGAGAGGTATCATGATGGTAAAAATCATACAATAACCAGCTCAGCATGGAACTCCTGAGAAAAACAAGAGTGTTTTTCTTTCCATCCCCCAATGCTGCCTTTGAGCCTTCTTTCTACTGAGTGTATTCTGAGAATTTTTATTAAAGCAGGCATATGTTGAAGAGGTATTTAAAAAATACATAAGTACTTTTGCAAACTTTAGAGAATTGGCTGATATGATTATATTGCTTCAACTTTTTCCTGATGTAGCATTTTAAGTGGAAAGTCATAATTGCACCCTCTATGTTTTATTTCAGCTGAAGTGAGCAGTGAATATAGTATGGACAGGGCGATGGTTGAATTTGCGATGATGGATCGGGAACTAAACCATTACATTAAGGCCGTTCAATCTACAATAAATCATGTAAGTTTATGCCACTCACTGACCTAGAAATAGAAGCTTAGAATCAAAATTCATTCCTAACCTTTAATATTTCATTACCCTTATTGTAGCACCTCTTAATTTCCTCTTAATCAGGAAGTCTCACAGAGTAAGAATCTTAGATATTTTCCCAGCTAGGTCATGTACATATTTAGTATATTAAATCCACTTTAGGTTGTCTTGCATTTTGTCTCAAAATTTTTAATGTAAGTTGTCTTCGAATATGAGCAGATTTCTATAAAATGCTAAAAATTACAAATAACCTATTTACTTGCTTATGCATAGAACTTAGATAAGGTGTAGTTGCACATGCTGTACCTTTAACTTAGAGGTGTCTATTGCAAAATTCTTAGAATCAGATAATAAGGAAGAGTTTAGAGCAGGTTTAAAAATAAAGAAACTTGGCATTTCTGTTTTTCTAGAAGCCAAACTTATCTTTGTCGAGTCCAGCTGTCACAGGAACAACACACAAGGCAGTTAAGGTGGGAACATAGCAACATCCTTTTTAGTAGTACTGTGTTGAGTAAGAAGTGAGCAATCTGATTGCAGTAATGTTTCTGAGAAGCCCTTTGTCCTCGGAGAATGGAAACTCCCTGTTGAACTGATTTCATATACCTGTGTAATAGGGTGTCTCGTACTTCTGGTTTCTTTATTTGCCTTTTCTTACTTATAACGATGGGAAAATTCCAAAAATCAAATATTTAACCAGATCAGCTACTGTTCAGTGGGAGATAAAATTTTAACTATTGTTTTATACTTAAGCCAATAAAATGAGCATTATAAAGTTGTATGATGTTTTTCTGTGTTTTTTAAATGAATAATATTTTTTAAGTGTGATATTCGTGACTAACTTTAAGAATATCTGCTTATATCTAAGTAATAAATTCACTCCATTTATAAAATTCCAATGTTTCCAACCATTGTGACTTTTAGTCCTACCTAGTCTTATGCCTATTTCTGCCATAGGAAAGTATGAAGATGACATTATGTTGATACCATATTTGAAAGTGGGTAACAAAGCACATAGGCCACAGGTTTTTTTGTTTTGTTTTATTTTTTGTTTTTTGGTTTTTTTTTTTTGAGACAAGGTCTCACTACATAGCTGAGACTGGTCTCCACCTCGTGATCCTCTTGCCTCTTCTTCTCAAGTGCTGGGATGTACCAGGCATGTGCCACCACACCCAGCTAGACCAGTAGTTTTTAATTCTGGCTGAATCATAGAACTACTTGTTCCTATTCTACTCTCACAGTCTAGAGCAGGGTTGGGGTATCAGAATTTTTAGAAGCTCATTGCGATACATATTCAAGGTTGAAAACCACTGACCTAAAAGAACATGGCTGACTTTATAGAAAAAGTAAAGTGTGTTTACTACCAAAGACCAGAGTCAGGCTTATTACGTGGGTCAATTTTACTTTGATCCTTACATTCTAGAAGGTTATTGATAACTATCTTTAACTTTCATACTGTGCAAATGTAACAGCATAGAGTATATTATTGATAAACATGATTTTTGAAGTAAAAAAATTTGTTGATTTTTTTCCTATTTTAAAATTCAAGATACTTAAGTAATTTATAACAAAGACTTGAACTCATTTCCCTTCAATCAACTGAGTCACTATTTTTTTGGGAAAAAAAATGGTAAACACAAATTCCCAACCTCTGACATTGTATGTTAACAGCAATTCGTTCATTCCTTGAGGTCACCCCAGTTACCCTCAACCGTACTCAATAATGGAAGAGTTTATAATTTACGTTTTTTTCCTACTTTTCACACTTAACCTATGGAGCAAATAATTTTAGGAATTCTGATGGTTCTTATCAGTCTCCTGGTCCTTTCCATTAGGCAGGAGAAAACATGTTTCTTGTTCTTTTTTGTATACAAATTATGCTGTCTTGCAAGCTTATACAAGGCCCGAAAATTTTTGGAAATCATTAATTTGATAGGTTTTACTGAGCATGCAGGTCAGTTCATTGACTCAATGCGATATGTGTTATTTTTGAGGGCGACGGTGTTTGACTTGACTTTCCGTTATTTAAAGTCATGGACATG